GAGTTTATTTCTTTTCATCCGTGGGTGGTGTCGCATTGCATGGGGTGCGGGAGTTGGTTTCATCGTTCACCCGCTGAAAGGCATTGGGGTGGTTCCCAGTGTGGGGCCGTTATGAAGAAAGCTCTAGCGAACCTCCATACACAGTGTTCTGTGAAGAAAAGTTTTCATTTTCTGGGATAAATGCTGAAGAGTGCAATGGCTGAGTCCTGTGGTACGTGCATGTTTAGTTTCATAAGAAACTGCCAAACTGTTTTCAGAGTGGCCATTGCATAATCACACCGGCAATGCGTGAGGCGCCCGGGTTCTTTGCATTCTTGCTGGCATTTGCTGTTGTCTCTCGCTGTATCCATTCTAACAGGTACAGTGATGTCTCAGTGTGGTTTTAATTTGCATCTCTCTAATGGCTAGTGATGTTGATTATATTTACATGTGCATGTTTGCTGTCCCTGTCCTTTCTTTGCATGATTTTAATTCTTTTAGATTTGTTAAGGGTTTGTTTTATGGAGCAAGATGTGCCTATCTGGTGAATATTCCATGTGCACTTGAGAAGAATGTGTGTTCTGCTTGGTCGGATGGAGTGTTCTAGAACGCCGGTTGATGGTGGTGTTCAGTTCTACTACATCCTTGCTGATTTTCTGTTTACTGGTTCTATGGCTCACCGAGAGAGGAGTGTTGATGTCTCCAACTATAACTGTGGATTTGCCTATTTTTCCTTTTGGTTCTGTGAGATTTTGCCTCGTGTGTTCTGAAGCTCTGTTGCTAAGTGCACGCACATTTAGGATTGTTATATCTTCTCGGTAAACCGAGCTCTTATTATCCTGAAATATCCTCTTGAGCTCTGGCAATTGTCTTTGTTACGAAGTCTCATTTTCCTGTTGTTACTAGAGCCACCCTCTCTTTTTATTACCATGTGCACGGTGTCTCTTAATCTGTCCTTTTAACAGAGAGTGGGTTGTTTTTAAAATCCATGCAGTAGGCACCTTTTTAAAAATGCATTCTGACAATTCGTGTCTTTTAATCGGTATGTGTAGATTATTCATGTTTGAGTACTATTCAGCTATAAGGAACAATGGTGATCTAGCACCTCTTGCATTCTCCTCGATAGAGCTGGAGCCCATTCTACTAAGTGAAGTATCCCAAGAATGGAAAAATAAGCACCACATGTACTCACCAGCAAATTGGTTTCACTGATCAACACCTAAGTGCACATACAGGAATAACATTTATTGGGTGTCGGGCAGATGGGAGGGGGGAGGAGCGGATGGGTATATACAAACATAATGAGTGCAGTGCACACCATCTGGGGGACGGACACACTTGAAGCTCTGACTGGGGGGGGCAAAGGCAATATAGGTAACCTAAACATTCGTACCCCCATAATATGCAGAAATAAAAATAAATAAATAAATAAACACTATTGAGAGTAGCTTAAAAAAAAAAAGAAAGAAAGAAATTGTTGATATGCTTTTAGGAGCACGGCTTTGTTATCGTGCTGTTTGTTCCCTCCGACTTTTCTTCCTCTGTTTCCTCTTTCTTGCCCTCTGTGGGTTATTTTCCCATTTTAATGTTACATTTTAATTTACCTATTGTATTTTCGACTGTGTCTCCTCCTACAGTTTTACAGTGGCCGCTCTGGGGATCGCGACACACACACACGTAGCTTTTCACGGCCTGCCTGGAGCCGCCGTGTTATCCTTTCCAGCGGAGTGCGGGGACTCCCTCAGCACACAGACCCCGGGGTGCGTCCCCCACTGCGCGGGAGCCGTCTCAGGCGTCACGCCGACACACGCCAAAACCCCACCTGGCAACTTCACGGTGTTTTCTTTGAGCCAGACGACATGTTTCACCCACGTCAGTGGAAGAGGAGTCGGTTGTATTTACCCGGGTATTTGCCGTGCCCACGGCTCTTCATTCCTGATGCTCCACTTTTCCTCCCTTTGATGGTTCTTTTGGAGTCCCTGTGATTATTGTCCCCAATTTTCCATCCTTATTTTCTAAACTTTTTGTTCTAGAAACGCTCAAGCATCTACCACAGTAGAGAGGATAGATGATTCTATTAAAATATATAACTGTGATGTCATTATTATATGTAAAATGTAACTTCGATTTAATTTCTTAATATTGCAAATATTCAGACAATGATTATTTTGCCCTGATGGTCTCACAGATATATATTTTTTTAATCTTTTCTCTTAAAGCAGGTGATTCGAGCCAGCCAACATATTTGGGAATGTACACATTCCCATTGGTTGGGCACGTAAGTCTCTTCATCGATAGTGTCCCCTTCTGTCACTTTTTGTGTGAAATAGTACCTACAATCACCGTCTTGGCTTGGGGATTGCATCAGAGTCTGGCCATAAGAACACGTAGCAGAGCTCCCGCTGGAGTTCCTCCTGTCTTCAGGAAGGGTGTTTTTTGTTTGTGTGTGTGTTTTTAATCAGTGTAGTGTCATTATTCTCTTGAGTCGGTTGTGGATTTTTCATCTGCTGCTGTTCTTCCTTTTCAGTTATAAATTGCCTTTTGTTCCCCTGCATCACCGTCAGCTGAGGGGCAACAGGTGGACATGCAGTGTTGCGTATTTGGGGCCTGTCACTGACCAGTGGTGAGACACGCATCGGGTTTCAAACAGGAATCATCACAACTATCTTCTCCGACAAACTCGCACATAGCTCACCACGGAATCTGTGAACACAGTTGACGCTTCCTTGTTATTGCCAAGTTCTTTTCCTACTGAAGAGCAGGAAGAGGTGGGTGGGGGAACTGTTGGAGGGGGGCATGTGGACCCGTTGACCTGAGCCCCGGTCAGTACCATTTGAGAGTCTCTGCTTTCACGTGGAAGCAAGAGGCGCTAGTGGAGAGATTTCTAGCACCTAGAGAAGGGGAAATAGGGGCTGGGAGAATGAAGGCTTCTGGTGGCAGACCCACACACAGTGCGTCTCTAGGACAAAGCAATCCCGCGCACACAAGTACAGCCCCGACACTGTGCAGAAGCCAGGCTCAAGGCTCCCTTCCTGCCCTCTGGGACGCAGCTGATTGGGCCTCTCCTTTCATCTGCTCCCTCCGGCTTCTAGAGACGTGGCTGAATTCTGGGAATGACCACGAGCGGGAATGGGCCATATGGTGCGCTGCCTGTCTTCTTGGCTTTACTGTAAAAACGAGTAACTTCCACGTGAGTGGCCACCTGCCCCAGGGCCGGCCCTCACCCCTACCCTTGTCCCCAACTTCATCACATCTGTGCCCTGGCCTCGGTCACTCGGCCTGCATAGAGGACGTGTTTGAGCTGGGCTTGAAGGACGATTGGGGTGTCACGAGGCAGAGAAAGGGGCACACTGTCAGGTCCCGCCCCGAGCTGTGTCGGCGTACGTGCTTTCCAGCCACACCTCAACTGATTCCTTCCCTGTTCCCTGCCCCGGTCTCACCGCTCAGGGCTCTGGCACACGCGTCCCCTCCTCCTAGCTTTTCCCCTGCGTAGCCCAGCCTGAGGCAGTGGCTGGGATAACTTGTGACCTGCAGCTCTCCTCCCCAGGTGGAAATTCGGTTCCCCCGGCTGGGCGCCTGGTGAGGATGCTGGCCACGCACTGCCAGGACCCAGTGAACGGCGTCCGCTCCTTGGCTGTCCAGGCCGTCTACAACCTCTACCGTATCCTCCTGCTGCAAAAGCGAACGCACAGCCCGCTCGTCCCCCTCCCACCTCCGCACACGCTCGTTCCAGAAGAGAGAGGGCCCAGAATTTACCTGAGCACGTCATTTCCCTGGAGGGACCTGCCTCGAAACACCTGCAGTGCCCCTCTTGGGACAAAATGCCTGCTCAGGAAAGAGTTCTTCTGGGTCAGTTCCTCCGTCCGGCTGAGCTTCATGCTCGTGCCCAGTTCTGTCTCTGCTCTGAGGCAGCGAAGTGGGGGCCCTTAGACAGGAGCCGTCAGCGTCCCTTACGGTGATGTCCCCTCCTCCCCTGCAGGCCGTCACCTCTCTCCAAGCCGGCTTAGGTCCCTGGGCGCCTGGGGCTAGGCCAGGCAGCCTGGGAAGCCTTCTGAGAGTCTGAGCCACCAAGGTGCTTGGCTGCTTCCAGGTCAGGCTCTGTCCCCAAGCAAGCGCCAGCCTGGAGCCCAGGAGCCAAAGCACGAAAGGGGTCTATCCGTCCGTCCTGGCCCCTTCCTGGCTAGGAAGAAGCAGGGTGGGGGCGGGGGGACACAGAGGGGAGGCAGGGCAGGGCCTCTCTCTCAGGCAAGGCTGCTGGAGACGCCGCGGCCAGGTGGGGAAGGTGAGGTGGGCTTTGGTTTGAGCCGCGGCTCCATCACCATTGGGCTGTGTGGCCTGGCCCGGTGTCCTTCTCTGTCTGAACCTCAGGGTCCTCACAGAAGAGGGAGAGGGTAAGGGTTGGTCGTCCTGGAGACAGGTGGGATGTCATTTGCTGGCTCTCGTGCCTGGTACACGGACCCTCCCCCGAGATCCCCCGCGCCCTCTGGGCCTGCCCTGCCCTGCCCGCGCCGCTGCGTTCTTTTCAGGCAGCCTCGCTCAGAGCTGCCTGCGGTTAGGGTTAGACAGCCCAGCCTCTGTGCCCTGGTGTCAGGACAGGGACCAGGGACCGGGAAGAGGGAGCCACCAGGCCTCTTGCCTGTCCCCGTCCCCAAACCATGAAGAAGCCGGCTCAGGCAGGCCCAGCCGCGTCCACTAGGTGGCACTGCCCGCCAGTCAGGCTGGCGCGGGACCGGGGCGGCGGGCACCCGCTCTGGACATCTCAGCCACCGGGTCGGCTTCCGCAGGGCAAGCCCCTCAGTGCCGCTCCCTTCCGTCACCCACCCCAGAGCTATCAACCTCTCATAAACTTGTTCTAATACGTATTTTTCATGGAAGTATTATACTTCTACTGTAGAAGGCAGAGTCAAGCAAAAACAGGAAAAAAAATCATAATTCCACCAACAAAAGGTTCATTTTGGTGCATATCACTGTAACAGTCTTTCTATGCATAATTTTTACATACCTGCATATGTATTTTAAAAACAAAACAAAAATGATCTTATCTCTAAGTGCTGTTGTTATAATATGCTTTTTTTCACTCAGCAGCAAAGTGCCATAAACATTTTTCCCTGTCGGCAAGTATGCATTTATTCTCCCAATCTCTGGCTGCACTGTATGCCAGTTATATGTATTCATTCATTTATGCATTCATTCATTCATTCATTTAGAGACAGGGTCTGGCTCTGTCACTTGGGCTAGAGTGCAGTGGTGTCGTCACAGCTCACTGCAACTTTAAACTCCTGGGCTCAAGTGATTCTCCCTTCTTAGCCTCCCGAGTAGCTGGGACTACAGGTGTGTGCCACCATACCCAGCTAGTTTTTTTAATTTTTTGTAGAGATGGGATCTTGCTATGTTGCTCAGGCTGGTCTCAAACTCCTGGCCTCAAGCGATCCTCCTGCCTCAGCCTCCCAAAGTGCTGGGATTACAGGCGTGAGCCACTGTGCCCGGCCATGTGTATTTTTAAGTTCTGACTGGTGATTTTGATGCACGGCCAGTGTTGAGAATCAAATTGTTTAATTTCCTTTGCCGTGCCTACGGGCAGTCTAGGTGAGACTGCCAACGCTGGATGTCATCAGCAGTTCCTTCTCTTTTGCCCATTTGCTGCCAGTCTTTTCTTTCACCTTTTTTCTGGTCATGTGCACTTGCTGCCTCTTGGCCCAGACTTCTCTCCTCCCCGCCCCGCCCGGGCCTGGCTTCCTTTCCCCTGGTCCTCTGGGCGGTCACGAGGCCTCCACATTGTGGTCTGCAGGTGTCTGACTTCGGGAGCAGCTGCTGGCCTGTGCCAGGCGGAGGCTGAGCGGGTGGTGGGTTTCCCCGTGGGGAGGAGCCGCGTCCCGGGAGGGCCGCCCTGGCCCCTGCCGTGTGAGTGGGACGCACACTGTCACCAGGCGGGAGCCCTGTGCCGGCTCCCTCGGAAGCTCAGGGCCCGGTGCTGACGGTGCTCACGCTCTGCCGCCGTCCGACTGCGGTGGGGGTTGGGGATCGCCCTTCCTGGTCTGGAAGACGGACGGGGTAGTGCCCTTGCTGGACTCCGCCTTGCGGAGCATTTGGCCTTCGGTTTCCGCCCCTCCCTGGCTCTCGCTGCGTCACGTGATCCCTGTCATCCGCAGCAGGGTCCTGACCAGCCACCAGCCGCAGGAATTCATGCACCGAGAAGAGAGCTGCCCCTCCCCCGCCAGCCTGCCCCCCCAGGCCTCGGCTGGGGAGGGGCCGCTCAGGGGGAGCAGCGTCTGTCCGTCTGTCCAGCTCCTGCCACCCCTCACCCTTCGCTGTCGAACAGGTTTCTGAAAACCGCAGCATTCCTTTAGGGCCAAGCGCACAGAGAGCCGTGCGTTTCCCATGGTCCTCTTGCCCTGGGTTAGGCCCTGGGGCATCTCGAGGGGCACGTCTGTGGTGCTCAGTCCCCGACCTGCCACAGCAGGTGCCCACCACGGCCCTGGGAGCGGAGGAAGGGACTCGGTGCCATGGTGATGGGGAGTCATCTCGGGGCGTTTGCACTGGGAGGGTCGGGGAGGTGGTCGGTCGCCAGAAGCAGCAGGGCGTGTTCGGTGGGGGGCGGCACGGTCCACTCTGACTCCCACCCGGGGGAGCCACTGGGGGTCACGCTGTGGGGCTCTGTCCTGGGTTTTGAGCCCCAGGATTAAGAAGCCATTTATGGGGATGGCTTCCGGGGCTGCTCCATGGGGGGCTCTGGGTCTTCCTTCCTCAAATGGACGAGCAGGTGGAACCCTCTGGAACCTGCGCAGCGTGGCTCCCAGAAGGGTAGTCTGTTTCTTCCCCTCCTGCGAGTACCAGCATTGGGTCCATGCCCGCAGGGAGAGGGGTGGCCTGCGGGGCCTCCTGGCCACCAGGAAGAAGGTGAGCGTCCCTTCAGCGGCACCTCCCGCTCATGAGGACGGTGAGACCCAGAGCTCTTCTCACGCTCAGGGAGTCCGGATGGTTGGGCTTCTCCTGGGTCCTCCGCCCAGCGCTCCCTGGCCCTGACTACACAGGATTTCCCCAAAGCCCGCAGCTCCGTGAGGTGCTCTAGTCCCCCAGCTGGGACACGCGCGGGAGCAGGCCTGAGACCCAGCGCTCTGAACCCACCTCCGGGAGACATAGTGCCTCCAGATTTTCCAGGAGCCCAAGAGCACAAACCAGGTGCTGACGGCGTGTTCCAAGTGCAGTGAGGTGAGAGAGTCACTCTGAGGGTGGGGTCCGAGGCAGCGTGGGATTCCCAGGGGGACATCCAAGCTGTGGCTCGGGAGCTCTGGGCTGGGTCTCTCCCGCAGCGCCATGGCCGGTGGGGTCCAGGTGACAGGCCCTGCTCCTCCCTGAGGCCAGTAAGTCTTGGTCGCCTCCCGTCTCCTGGGGCTGTGGCACCCAGCCGCCCGCACTCCAGTCCGCTGGGCCCTGCCTGTTGTCTGCTGCCGTCCGGTCTGCGGCCAGCTGCGCCTCAGGGTGTGTCCGCGGAGGGGCAGCGTTTCAGCAACTCTGCCCCTGGCCCTTGGAGAGCAGGTGGGCAACTAGCCAACCACAATGCTGCCAGGACCCAGGCTGTTGGCCCAGACCGGATCTTAGCTGAGCAGACCCTTTCCAGGTGGCAGGAGTCCCAAAGAGTGGTACACGCAGCGCCTGGTGCGCGGGGGGAGGACGCCACGCGCCCTTGCTCGAGTCTCCGCCCCAGGAGCGTGGCCATGGCGGGCACGCCCTACCGCAGTGCAGGTCTCCAGAGCTACAAGGCAAGGCGGCCTACCCGGATCAGCCCCTGTGAGTGCCTCCAGTTTTCCAGAACACTCGAGGGCAGCGGGGAGGGGTGTCGCCCTAGGCCGGGATGGCAAGGCCTCCCCGCTGGGCCTTCACCCATGTTTCCTGTCCACTCAGAGGTCTGGCCGCACCTGCACACCCTCTCGATCGCCTCTGCGGTGTTCTGTGGCATCGGCATTGGCCCTCGAAGCCTCCTGATCCGGCCCTGGAGCCGGCAGGGTCTTTTCCCAGGGAGAGCAGGGGCACTAGGCAGGAGGCAGGAAGGGGCCCTGGCAGGCCGCCTCCTTCGCCCCCCCCAGCCCAGAAGCCCAGGGGAGGCCCCCGGGGAGGAGGGTCTGGGTGGAGGCCGCTGCCCAGTCCACAGGTAAGCCAGGCCGCTTGCTCTCCAGGTGGATGGCTGCAGAATGCAGTGGCAGGAAGGAGGGGCTCACCTGCCCTGTCCCCCATCTGAGGGCTGAGGAAGGGGAGGGGACCCGTGGGGACATACCGTGGGGGGCAGGTCTGCCGAGGAGCCCCAGCCTGTGCCCGTCCAGGCAGGGCCGTCAGGCCCCCACGGGGTTTTGCCAGCACAGCACTCCCGGCCAAGCCGCCAGCCTGGATCTGAGACCGCGTGGAGGGAAGGCTCCCCCTGGCCCTGCCCTGGCTGTTAGGCAGAGGGTCAGTCCTGCCTCTTCCCTCCCCAGGGCCTCCCCCTCCCCAGCCTGGTTTCCCACGCCTTCTCCTCCCTCAGATCCATCAGAAGAGCCCGTCTCTTCCTGACGCAGTCACGCTGCTGGCGCCAGGCCCTTCCTCTGCCCTGCCGGCTGGGCCTGGCCCGCAGGGGCCCTGCTCAGGGGAAGCCCGGGGGTGAGAGTGGCGTGCGGGACACAGCCAGGATCCAGGCACAGGGAGCGGAGCCTGTGGGAGACGACCAGGCCAACCCTGAAGAAACAGGGGTCCCTGCCATCCTCGGGCCCACCCCAGGGCAGCCCCTCCCTGGAACTGGGTCCTTCTTCCCAGCAGCCCGGCTGGGGGGCAGGTTTCCCGCCTGGCCTCCTGCAGCATCTCCGCCCTGCCCACCTTCTCAGGCCCATCTGCTTCTGCCCTTTCCAGCTAAAACAAGCTGCTCTAGACCTTTCACCTTCTCTTCTAAATTTAAAATGTTCCCCATTTCTAGCCCCTGGCGGCCCCAGGGCTCCTCCTGGCCAGGGCCTTCTGAGTGCCCCCAGCCGCCTCACCCCTGCCGCAGCCTGTGCCCTAACCCTAACCCTAACCCTGCTCCACCACCCTCCCTCCACGCTGCCCTCCTCCCTCCCAGCCACCGGAGCAAACTCCAAGACACCTCTCCCTGACATCAGCGATTATGCCCAGGGCCGTCGGGCTCTCAGTGGGACTATTTTCAGAGACCCCGTGTCTGTCACTGGGATGTTTTTTTCTGTGGGAAAATATCCCTCCCTCCCGTCTGCAAGAGCTGCCCCCGCGGGCTGCACCTCGCTTCCCTCCTACCCAGAAGAAGGGGCCTTGGTGCCCGGGGTGTTTTGCCCACTGCTGGGAGCCGTGGGGCGGAGGACGGTCGCAGCTCTGAGGGCAGGAGCACACCCTGCTCGGCGACCGTTCCTCCCTTAAGAGCACACGCTGGTTTCTGCAGTTCTTGGCTGAGCTCCTCTCCCGACCCGCGCTGCTCCCATCTCTGACGTCTCTTCAGGGAAGGGAAGAGCACTCTGGGGGCGCCTGGCAGCACACGGTCTCCAGCCAGCGTCCTGTCCTTCAAGAAGGTCCCGGCGAGGGCAGCGCCCGGGCCTGTTCCGGGGAGGACGTGCGGCAGAGGCCCCTGGGACACGGTCCTCCTCGTCCTGTCCCTGCAGCTGAGAGGGGCAGGCAGGGGTGGGACGGACACGGACACTCGGGCGAAGGCGCTTCCTGCCCCGACCCAGGCCCCTTCCCAGAGATCCCTGGGAGGGAAGAGGCTGAGGGGAGGGAGGTCGGAGGGGCAGCCGTGCACCCACCCGTGGAGACACAGGAAGGAAAAGGCAGAACAACACGCAAGACGAAAATAGCCCAAGGCCCAGGGAAGGCAGCTTGTTAAAGACCCCAGATCAGGTCCCCGGCTTGACCTGTGGCTCTCACTGCAACACAGAAGCCACCGGTAGGGGCTCAGTGGCACGTGCGTCCCCACCCGAGACACTCCCCACAATCCACAGCCACCGCGTTCGGCTTCGGTCTGTCCCTGGACCCAGCACTGGGCACTGACCAGACAATGGTGCCGTCTGAGGCGAACTCTCACAGCCGCCCCAAGACACAGGCGTGGGGGCGGCCCCACCGCACACGTCAGAGCAGGACGCGGGCCGCCAGGGTCCAGGCACCGTGTGACAGGCTCTGGTCTCCGTCTCACAATATCTCAGGCCCACGACCAGTTCCTCGGACAACGCTCGGCAGGGTCTGAGCAAATTCTGTCACCGCCGCAGCTGGCTGAGCTTGGAGAGGAAAGCTCCGCCAAGCAGTCCCAAACCAGGAAGGAGCCTGAGGCCCAGGCAGGGCTCCTTCCAGCCGGCGCCTGACAGGCAGCAGGAGGCGGGCGGCTGGGGTGCAAGCCCCAGCGAGGGGTGGGCAGCGAGCACCCCGGTGGTGTGGAGGTGAGGTGGTGCTTTCCTTAGAGCCTCCTACTGCAGTGGCCCCGGGTCCCCTCACCTTGTTCCTGCTCCTTCTGTCCTCCTCCAGCTGTGCCTCCTGGGCGCTGCCCCCAGCTTGGCAGCTGCACTCCAGCAGGGCGGCCCGGCCACCTCCCTGGGAGCTCCCCAGACTGGGGCTGGGAAGGGAGGAAGGGCTGCTCCGGCGGGGCTGGGCTGTGGGACGGCCTCGGGGTGAAATTTGCAAGTGTCCGGGGCTTCACTGCACGGGGCCCGGACTTCCGCCACCAGCTGGGGAGTCTTGTGTGCGGACACTGCCTGTCCCTCCCCGCCTCATGGCCGGGTGCCACCCCGCAGAGGGGCCTGTGGGTCACCCACGGGCTGACAGTGTCTCAGCTGGACAACGAGCCCACACAGGTTTCCGTGCCGTTGCTGGATGCTGGACATAGACCAGGAGATGTAATGCTGACACTGAAATTTCGTCATCTCGGGGACGCTGAATATTTCATTGCTGTAGTTTTCCGTTTTCTTAGCAGGTCCTTTTCTTCCATCGGTTTAACCGGGGATGGAGGACCCAGAGCCCCACTGGTCCAGCTCCCACCACCCTGGAGGTCAGAGCTCTATAGACAGTTTGAAAACCACTATTTTACGAGCCCAGCGGAACAAGATACTTGAAATGAGAACTTTTCTGAAAATCTAGGATTTATGACCATTTAACAAACCTGCAGAAGATTCTTCAGGAATCCAGAAATTTGGCAGGTCGAGGCACCCTCAAAGAAAGCCCCCCACCCTGCGCTGTCCCCACCTGCAGGAGACAGTTGCTGGCGCCTTGGCCCGCAGGGTGGTCTGGGGTGGGGGTGGGGACCTGCAGGACAGCCAGCAGGCCTCGTGCGCACCCCTTGGAGTGGATGGAGCCCTCGCCTGGAGAAGAGCCCTGCAGGCCCCCTCCTCCCAGCCGCCCTCCCCTCCTGCCGCTCCAGCTGCTGTCTGTTGCTGACGGGCAGGACACGGAGCAGGCCCTCCTCCACACCTGTCTCCCGCTTCCTCGCAGGCACAGGGTGTGCTGGGACTCCCAGGCCCCCTGTGCCAAACCCACTGCCAGCGCTGGCTCCCAGCCCGGTGCTCCTGCTGCTGGAGTCCGCCGCGTGGGCCCCACCTAAGCCCCGCCAGGCCCTGCAGCGCCGTCTGGCCACAGGCTCTCAGTGGTGTTGCAGAGCAGCAAGGGCTGCTGGGAAGACTGCCGAGCCCCTCCCCCGCAGCGTCCTCAGGCTCAAGGAAGCACCGAGACTTCCCCCCGACTTCCGCTGGGGGAGGGCTGGAGACGGCAGGGGGGGACGTCAGTGCCAGCCAAATCCACCCACCCCCTCCCAGTCAGTATCGTCTTGGGGGTCAGACGCTCCCAGCAGCGGCCCCCCCAGTGTGCGGTGGGTGTGGCAGTCGGACCTGCAGGGCCCAGCCATCCTGGCAGGGTGCCGGCTCCGGATCCCGTGGTTCTGGGCGCCCGTGAAGATGGAGCCGAGTTCCTGCAGGCGCCCTGGAGCCGGGCACTTGGCGCCGGAGAACACCTGTGGACACGGCAGCGGGAGGGGTCTGAGAGGCTCCAGACAGCCGAGGGTTGGGTGGCAGGTGGGGCTGGGGCCGAGGCCCTGGGCGGGAGGAAAGCCCGAGGTCTGGATGGACAGCAGGGGCAGGGACGTGGGCAACCTCAGACACGGGAGACGGGGGCCCTGCCCGCCAGCCAGGGACACGGGGGAGACGGGGCCCTGCCCGCCAGCCAGGGACACGAGGACATGGGGGCCCTGCCCGCCAGCCAGGGACACGAGGACATGGGGGCCCTGCCCGCCAGCCAGGGACACAGGGCCATGCAGGCTTCCTTGGTGGCTTCTTGCTGCCTTTGATCTTCTCAACTTGGCCTGGGCCAAGGAGACCCTCTCCCCGACGGCCTGCACCTGGCTCCGCCTCAGCTCTGCTGGCTGGACATCCTGCCCGAGAGGAGATCCCAGAGGCTGGGGCTGCTGCCGACCCTGCAGCCACGCGCACCTCTCCTTCTGACCTGCCAAGATGGGGCCTTGGCCACGGGCTGGCACATCAGTCCCACCTGCTTGTCAGGGCCGCTCAGCGCTGCCCAGGGGACCTCTCCAGGGGAGATCCGAGCCGGAGGGTCTGGAGTCGACTGAGTCCTGGGAGCTCGCAGAGGGGACGGGCAAGCACCCTGGCCCCAAGCTGGCACCTGTGCCTGCCGTCAGGCGTGGGGCGCACAGACGGCACCCCGGTTGCTCGCCTAAGCGCGCAGCGAACACGCACCGCGCTGCCGTGTGAAGGGCAGGCCTGGCCTCGGCAGAGGAAGCGGCTGGAGTTCGGTGAGGCCGAGACTGGCAGGGCTGGACCTGGACGCCGTCACCTGAGCTCAGACCCTGCCCTGTGGACAAGGACGTGCCCTGCGCATCGCGAATGGCGACAGGCTCTCTGTGGTCTGTCTGCGCACCTGCCCCGCTCTCCCCCGGTCAGGGCGGGCTCCGCAACAGCAGCCACCCGCTGTTTCCTGCCCGTGCCCAACACTCTCGTCTCAGGGCCTCTGCGTCTGACGGAACGCCGGGCGCAGACACCCACGCGGCTGGCGCCTGCGTGTCACCGAGTCCCCTTCTCGCGGAGGCCCTTCTGACCTGAGATCTGGAGACGCACCTGTCACTTCCCAACCCCCACGCCTGCCGTGCTTTTCTCCACGGCGTCTCTGGATGCGGCACGTCTTTTGCCCGTGCGTGCTGCAGTCCGGGGGCCGGGCTGGGCTTTGCTCCCTGCTGCATTCCCAGAGCCCGGCCCGGTGCCGGCACGTGGTGGGGCTCACTGGAGACTGGGGCCCACGGCCCCACCGTGCTCGTCCACATTGCTTGGCCACAGCGAGTGGACTCCGACTCCCGGGTGCCACGCTGTGCCCCCCAATCTCCCTGTAGCTCCCCCGCCCCTGAGAACCTGCGTCCTCGCCGCAACAGCCACACTCCACGTCCAGGCGGCCATCGCCCGGCACCTGCCTGCGAGACGAGCACAGAGCGGCACGAGGAGGGAGGGGCAGACGCACGGGTGCAGTTCTCGGGGAAAGGCGGAGGGTGCGGCAGGGTGGTCGAGGGGCACCACGGACTCCAGGGTGAGCGGCTGTGGGACCAGGCACCCCTGGGGTCTCCCCGAGGGTTGAAATTGCAGTCGGGAATCTGGCCTGACCTGCCAATTTCACAAGCCAGGGGTCTCCACGCCCTCAGGAAGCCTGCCCTGATTTCTCCCGGCCCCTCGTGTGGGGGCGCAGCAAGGTGGCGGCTGGAGCACAAGCAGCCTCCACGGCGGCTCGGTTTCCCCGCAGCCACGCAGGCGGGGAAGGAGGGCACCGCTTCCTCCCCTCGAGAGGAAGCAGAGCGCGGCCCGTCTCCCCACGGGGAGAGAGGACTCATCTGCCGCAAGGGGTTCTTGAGCGCGAGCTGCTTGAACGCGCTCCAGTTCCCAGGCAGCCACATCCTGCCCCGGGCGCTGAAGCGACCTTCTCTGGTCACGTAGGCACTCAACTCAGGGCCCACAGGGAAGCGGGGATGCTGGGGCCGGAGTCGGGCAGAGGCTGCTCTGTCCTGGAGCCGACATCAAGCAGAGAAGGGCCGATTGCTCAAAGTGGCAATCATCAAGCTCAACGACGAGCCCCGGCAAAGTTCTGGGATGCGTCGTTAAATAGAAGCTCGTAGAGAAGGAGGTGAGCCCCAGGCGCCAGCACTGTGCTCAATTCACGACGTCTCTTTTTGTTTTTGTTTTTGTTTTCGGCAGGGTTATTAGACCGGTGTGTCGGGGAAAACCTGACACACGCTGCGCCTTGAGTCAGCAGGACTTCGATGGCTCGTCACTAAATCCTGTGTAAGGATGGGTCTGTGGGCTGGAGGCGGCACATACAGGAAAAGCCAGCCCCGAGGGACCGCAGTCCCCACAGGGCGCCGCCGAAGAGGGGCCTGACCCGGCCTTGCTCGGGGGGCACTGGCAGGGCCCCCCAGTTCATTCGGCGCCTGACTAGGAAGCTGGGGACGTCAGATGGGGGCGGGTCCAATGGCCCGCAGGACAGAACCGACACTCCAGTGATGCCGAAAACCAGAAGGAGGGATGCAACCGATGAGACCGAATCCCAAGGAAGGAATGAGAAGCCGCCTGAGGCTCAAACAAGCAAGCGCACAGACGGGGAAGGCGGAGGGGGCTTGGCTCGCAGCAGTTCAGAGAAGACAGACCCGGAATTCCAGTTAGGGATAAGCTCGGGCGGGGCTGAAAGCCTGTGAAGCAGCTTCCCAAGGACGTGGCTCTCGGGGCTCACAGTTTCCTGGGCTCCCCACTCCTCCCCCAGCAGTAAACCCGGACACGCTCTCCTGGAGGCGCACGGGAGCCCTGAGCACCTGTCCCCCCAGGCACCACTCTGGCCACACTGTGTCCCCTCACCCCGGGTCCACCCTGCAAGAGGACTCTGAGCCCCCCTGCAGACTGCGGAGTCTGTCCTGACACTGCGTCTCCCGCGCCCAGGACAGTGCCTGACATGCAACAAACACAGCCGAACAGAAAGTGACAAATGACCAGACGCCCAAAGGAGGGCGGTGAGGACGGTGATGAATGAGAAATCCACGTCCTACGAAGACAACTGAAGGGTGTTCTGGCTAAAGAGGAGATGGCTCCGCACATATGACAACTCCCCCAAATATCACGAGTATCAGAAGAGCCGTTGCGGAGAAAAGCGACCCATTCCCTGCCAGCCCCAGCGGGTGCAGCTACAAGGAGTCAGACCTCGTCCTCACACGGAAAATGTTCTCAGGCACGGCGCACGGCTTGGCAAAGCAATCAGATTCCCGCCGGACACCGCCGGTCCGGGACGCTCCCAGGGAGAGGCCCGCCCAGGGCAGGCGTGATTCCGGGGTTCTTTCTGGACCCCAGACCCGAGGGACTAAGCGATGGTTTGCTGTGGACGAAGCCCCCATCTCTGACCGGCACACGCCACGATGCCGAGGGAGAGGACGGGCCCAGACGGAGAAAGAGCTTTTGGTGCGTTGCCGTCTCCACGGACTGCGGGGGCTGTCGGGAGGCCGTGTGCGGAAGGGAAGGGCTGTGGCTGCTTCGGGGCCGGGACGTCGACAGACGATGTCCGCCATGAGGGCAGTTTGCCCGGACGCAGGAGGGAGAGCCGGCTCGCCTGTCTGCTCAGAGCCTGGGCTCCACTACGGGCCCGTCCCCTGCCTGCCCCCGTCTCCAAGTGAGTCCATCTGTTGCTCCCTTTCCTTCCCCTCACCGTCCAACAGGTAACTTGAGCGTGTTCAGTTTGCAAAGCACGGCGCGGGGCTGTGGGGCCAGAGATGAGCCAGACGACACTTACCTGCCCTCAGAGTGGTTCAGGCCGCCAGGGAGCTCAGAACCGAACATCCACAGCCCTAGTGTCCCGCGGACCCGGGCCTCACATCTAATTCCTGACAGTGCGGCCCTGGGCAAATCACTAAGTGGTCTATGCAAACCTCGACTTCTTTGGCTGCAAAATGGGATGGTAACTTCTATTTCACGGAATTCCCGCGAAGGCTCCAGCGAACGGATTCTGTGCAGGGCTCCCGGTCCGGCTACACAGCCTCGGGGCTCAGTTAACATTTGCTATTATTGCCCATGAGACCGGGAGGGACGCAGGGCTACGGGCACTCGGAGAAAATCCAAACCTCTGCCTGGAGTGGATGAGGGCGGGGTGGGGAGGCTGCATGGAAGAGGCAGCCTTGAGCAGACGTGCAGAAGGACGTTCCAGGCAGGGGAAACGGGCGCTCTGCGAGGGAACGCGTGCAGCGCGGAACGTCAGCGCAGTGGCAAGCCGCTCCTCTGCGGCAGCGAGAGGCTCGAAGGGACCACTGTCCTCCCGGCATGGCCGAGGGACAGCCTGGAAGGGGCTTGGGCTTCCTGCCCCGCCATCCCCAAAGACCACCCCATTGCCTGTGGGAACATTTCCTACGACGCCAGGCGGGCTCCGGTGCCTGCAGGACGATCAGCGCGCCAGTCCCCAGAGGATGCTGGGGAGGAGGGAGCAGCCACGCGACCCAGATTCGCTGTCTCCTCCCCTCACCCTGTCACAGCCCTGGCAACAGGGACCCCGAACGAACAGGGCTCTTGTCTTCACCTTTAT